CCTTTTTCCCCTCTGAGCTGCAAATATCGTTAACAATCTCAGTTTTAGCCACGCAGAAGTGCCCCAGTGCCCTCTCCCCTCCACGCCAAGGTTTATAGGTTCCTTCTGAGAAGGCACTAGCTATTTCACTTGGAATAGAAAATTAAGAAATAAGGCCAGGACGAGGCATACTAAAACGACGGACTTAAATTCGTGGTTTGGAAACCGCTCCTCCACGGGGAGGGGTGCTCGCAGGGAGCCCTACCATCGCCGCTGGGAAGTACTTGATGCCGTCGTGTCCGCCTTCCCCTCTTTCCTCTTCCCCCTCTCTTCCCCGATATTTTCAGCCTCGCTACATCCCTCACACCCCGCCAGCCATGCAAGGACTCTCTTCTGCCCCCCCGCCACCTTCGTACGAACTTTTGCATCTCTCCCTCCAGTTAGCACAGCTTCGAAGGTGCAAAGTTTTGGCCCCCGCGCTTCCGGCAGGCCGGCTGCTGTCAGCGGCGACGGGGCACTGGGAGCAGACCCAGCAGTGCTGCAGCTGGCCCGTGCCCGGCAGCCGCTGCCGCCCTCTGCCGCGCGCAGCCCCGACTCCAGGCGTTTGGAGCCGGGTTCGTTTAAAAGGATTGTGCAACGCCTTGTGCAATGCCTGCCTCCCTCTGGATCGTGCAGCTGGCTTCCTTGCCCCGCTTCCTACGCTCTCCCGCGGGGAACGGAGAAACAAAAATGTGCCCGGACGAAGAGAGGGGAGAAAGACTGCCAGAGCTGGGTTAGTTTTATCTCGCTTGACACCGCCACTGCCGGTCGCGGCCGGGGTCGGAGCAGGGGATGCTGGTGAGGAGCGGCCGCTGGCGTCCGGCAGCCCCCGGCGGGGCGCTCACTTGCCGGGCAGCCGCAGCACGGGGAGGAGGCGCATCAGCGGCCCCCGCGGTGGGTCCGTGGGCTCGGAGCTGCCCAGCGGCTGTTCGCCCTCCTTCCATTTCCTGATCCGGGGTCCGCGGCCCCGCGCGGTAATTGGCGCTGGCGGTCAGGTGGTGGTGGGGTGGCGGGGGGTGAAGAGGGGTGTGTGTGCATTTGGGTGTTGTGTGTGTTGTAAGCACTCCAGGGGTGGGAAGAGAGGAAGGGAGGGGAGTGCGACTGGGAAGGGGGGGGGGGGGGAGCTGGAGGCCCAAACTTTGGTAGCGGCGAGCACTTGACAGCAGCGGGAGGGGGAGAGGGAGGGAGGGGAGAAAGGGGGGGAAGGGGAGGGGCCTCACCGAGCCCAGAAAAACGACAACGCGAGAAAAATTAGTATTTTTGCACTTCACAAATTAATGACCATGAGTTCGTTTTTGATAAACTCCAACTACATCGAGCCCAAATTCCCTCCCTGCGAGGAGTACACGCAGCACAGCGGCAGCGCCGGCAGCTCCGCCAGCTACCACCCGCACCACCCGCACCCGCATGCCCCGCCGCAGCCGCCGCCGCACCTGCACGCCGCGCACCCGGGCCCAGCGCTGCCCGAGTACTTCCCGCGGCCGCGCAGGGAACCGGGCTACCAGGCTCCTGCAGCGCCGACGGGGCCGGCGGGGCCGCCTCCCGAGGCTCTCTACCCGGCGCAGGGACCCTCCTACCCCCAGGCGCCCTACAGCTACAGCAGCGCCGGCAGCGCCGCCCCGGGCCCCGAGCAGCCGCCCCCGGGCGCCTCGCCGCCGCCGCCCGCCAAGGGCCACCCCGGCCCGGCCCAGCCCCTGCTCCCAGGCCATGCCCTGCAGCGCCGTTGCGAAGCGGCCCCCACCGCCGCGGCCGGCACCGGGCCCGGCTGCCAGCTGCTGTCCGACAAGAGCCTGCCCGGGCTGAAGGGAAAGGAGCCAGTGGTCTACCCCTGGATGAAGAAGATCCATGTGAGCACGGGTGAGTTGCTCTTGCCAGGGGGAGGTGGGGATGCAGAGGAGGGAAGGGGGGAGGGTGCTCCCGGGGCCGGGATGGGTCGTTGCGTGTGTGGCGCTTTTTTTTTATCTTCCTTCTCCCTCCACGTTTCCTAATAAAAAAAAAAAAAAAAGTGAGAAACCTTTTGTATCCGGGGCCCTTTATCAAAAGATTTACGAGACGCCAAACTGTTAGGGCAGTAATTATAGCCCCCATAAATTTAATTGCCCTGCAGTGGCTCTGGGCCATGTGTCTTTGAAGCTTTTCTTCTAACCCAAATGCCCATCACCATTTTTTATTGCTCCTCGATTGTCCCCACTGTCGATAGGCTGAGAAACAATTTTTCTTGCCGTTTATGTATCCTACGTGAACCTGGTGTCAAGTTATTATATAATGATTATGTTCCATCGCTCCCCCCCCCCCCTTCTCTCCTTTTCTTTCTCCTCCGCGTGTATGTGTATGTTCATGTGCCCGTGTGTGCGCCTGTATGTGCACGTTTCAGTCAACCCCAATTACAACGGAGGGGAGCCCAAGAGGTCTCGCACTGCCTACACCAGACAGCAGGTCCTGGAGCTAGAGAAGGAGTTCCACTTCAACCGCTACCTGACCAGAAGGCGACGCATCGAGATCGCTCACACCCTCTGCCTCTCCGAGCGCCAGGTCAAGATCTGGTTCCAGAACAGGCGCATGAAGTGGAAGAAAGACCATAAACTGCCTAACACAAAGATGCGCTCCTCAAACCAGTCCGCACTGAGCCAGCAGTCCAAAGCACAGACACAGGGCCACCCCCACCCGCTCGATGGGGCTACACCCAACGCAGCCGCGCTATAAATACGTGGGTTTTTTTCCCCCTAATATATATATATTTACCTATCTATTGGGGTTTTCCAGCTGCTCCGTGTTGGAGGCTGGTGGTTTGGACCAAACAACTGTATAAAACAAAACAGGAGCAGGAAAGGAAGACGAGACGTGCCCAAGAACGGACACATGTTTAAACCAAAACCCGGACGATTGTCTACATTGTATATAGATAATGGTTCCATGCCCATCATTTTATTCTATTTATGGAAACGCTCCCTTGCCCTCGGTGTAAGAGAGGGCTGGATGCTGTCACGGACGAATTCTCTGTACCTAAGATGGACTCTTTTTTTCCTTTTTTTTTTTTTTTTTAAAGAGAACACTTTACGAATAAAAGACTGTTAAAACAAAGCAAAGACCTCGTGAGACACTTGTGTGAGGCATTGACTCGAATAGCGCTGTTTTGTGGCGTGTTCGTGGGTTCCCATGTGCGGGTGTGTGAGTGTGCACACGCACTTATACACACACCCTGACACGGGAGAGAGAACGAACACAGCCATGGAAGGTGAAGGACTTACGGAAAATGTCCCCTTATGCTGTCGAAGGGAAATGTTTTATGTATCAAAGGTAACTTAACTGGGTTTAAGTGTATCTCCCGCAGTAGCTGTGATCTTAGTTTTTCTCCACATTCCCTATTGCATTTATTTAAAGAAATATTACTACAAAGGCTGTCGCTGTCTTTATATTTTGCACCGTCTAAATCGTTTTGGGTCCATGTACAATTTGTGGATTTTTGGTGTGATGTATAACAGTGCCAAATGCTGGTAATAAAAAATATTCTGTACAAAAGAATTAAACGCTTGAAACACAAGTCCACTCAGTGCTGTTTCATCCACCTTGTGCTTGTGTTGGCACCAGGAATGGAAAACAACGGTTTTGACCTGGATTCATCTTGTCGATAGGGTAATGGTGTCTTTAAATATGTCCTGACTCCTCCTAATTGCCTGGCCAGAAAAAAGAGCGCTGCAGGACGAGGAAAGGTCTTGCTTCACCGTGTAGGTGAGTGGTGCTGTCTTTAGCGGACTTGGGGGAGAATCAGCCCGGCTGTCCATCACTGTCCGTGCGACGTCTAGTTTGAGGTGCTTTACAGAGAAACCCTGCTTCTACTGGAGGCCAGCAAGCTCTCATTACGGGTTTTGCTGGAGAAGTCACACATGCTCCTCACGATAACACTTTAAATCTTTAGCCAGCCGTAATTTATTCGCTCATTTTCACCCGATTATGATTTCTCAACTGACCAGCACTTTGGAAGGGAAAAACATGGGCGGTAACTTAGTTTCTCTAAGCTTTTCTGTTTCCTTCTTATTTTCTTTCAAAGACTGTTTCAAAATGTGTTGAGAAAGCCTCGGCACAAACATAAATTTGGGTACAACTCAAGAGGTTTATTTGACTGAAATGGTTGAAACAGCTGTGGCAAAATGGGGTTCCAGTGGCTCCAGCTCAGGCTTCGCATCTTGCTGCTTCCAGGCAGCTAAGGAGGGCAGGCAAAGCGGTGCTGATAATGGGGAGCCTTGCTCAGGGCTTCCTCAATGAAGAGTGGCACTGAATCGGGTAAGAAAAGGCTTAGAAAAGAGCTCAAGTGTTAGTAAATCTTCTAGGGAAGGCCTGAAGGCCATGACTGAGTTACACAAATGCATTCAAGAGCGGGATTTTTTGAATCAGTGCTTCTCTTCGGGTGAGTGAGGCTGCCAGAACCAGGTGCATCATCACCCTTGGGTGAAGTAGCACCAGGCCTCAAGGGTATTGCCAGCATCCCTGCCTGGTCATGGAACAGGGGTCGTCCTGGAGGAAAATGTAACATGCCACTGGCAAACCACGTTCAGCATCAGAGAGATGGCAGTTGTAAAATGCCCTCAGCAAACACCCCTGTCTCCAAACATGACCAAGAAGCAGGCCTGGAAAATGTGCTTCCACTCTCATGTTGATGTTTATTAAACCTTGAATTGCCAGCTGCCTCCTTATAGAGGGAGAAAAATATAGTTGCGAAGTAACTATCTGCAAGCATGTAACACTTAGTTTTGTTTATTGCTTAAGAATCTCTCAATATATTTATAGCCAAAATTAGGACAACCGAGCAAAATTCGAGCTGAAACATATTAACTGGAGATCCAGGATTTCTTTAGTGTGCAGTCTATGCGTATAAACCTGGTTTGCTTCCATTGTAAAAAGAAATGAAATCACACTGCAAATAGCAATTTTAGAGAGAATCATTAATCACCTCCTACAATAAATACTTCTTTGTAATTCAACAGCGGTTCTGAAAGGCATTCTCTTGGAAAAGTCTGTGAAGATGCAAAGGATTTCCCTGGAAAAAAAAAAAAAAAAAAAAAGGTGGTCATGTGTAAAGACACAGCAACTTGGCTGTCTGCTAAAAAAATGTACACTCTTGCTGGAGATTGAACCGCGGACTGCAAAATACCCCATGGCAGATTATCATCGTTTAAGGTAAATTTTCCTCTTTCTCCCTCTTCCCCCTCTGCCTGCGCTGGGAGCAGGAGCTGCTCCCGGGCTGGGAGCCCTGTGTTCCCCGTCCCATACCGCCCGTCTTTACAATAACTTCCAAAATTACACCGTCCAGTTTAAATTCTCGCATTGTGCTCCCTTTGCTAAGGCAACCGGGAGTTCACCAAGAGGACAAATTTTCTATCCCATTAATTGTTTTTTTTAGAGGAGCAGACTGACCCTTCAAACCCTTGACCTTTAAAGACAGTATTCTTTTTAACCCGGCACTTGGACCTAAATGTCTCTTCGCCCCCCTCCCTCTCTCCCGCTCTCCCGGTGTCTCTTACACACGGATTTATCTGCCCTGGCCACAAAGGCGAGAGCGGCCCAAAACGCTGAAGTTTGTCAATCTTTCAAAGAAAGACCAGATCACCTCAGAGTCAATTCAGGGGCCGCAGGGAACGGCACGCCGGTAACCCCGGTACCCACTTCTCCTCCCTCCCCCCCCAAGAAAAAATGCTCCTTCTCCAAGATCCTACTCCCTGCTTTTCCTGCAAGATCTTGCTGTACCTGGATTTTTATTGCACAGGAAACTCAGCTGTGAGAAGCACCTTGTTATATTTAACAGCTAGAGCCATCCTGCATTGGAGGATTACGCAATGCTGGGATTTTTTTTTTTTCGTTTTCCTTTTATTTTTTTTCTTTCTCTCGCTCTTTTTTTTTTTTTTTTCCCCTTCAGGGTGCTTGCCTTCCCTTGGCCTTCTTGCCCAGTGTTTGTAAACGAGGAAGGGGTAGGGGAAGCTCTCATACAAGCAGACGTCTTGACAGGCATGCCAAGAAAATCCAGCCCCTTCCGTGTCCCCTCTTGCCCCTGCTGGTGCCCGATCCGGGCAGCCCCGGACCCGCCCGCCGTTCCCACACCTCCGCCGGAGCCAGGCGGGCGGCGCGGCCCCTGGAGCCCCGCACACTGTAGAGGCTCTCCCAGGGTCCGGAGGCTCCCGGCCTGGCCGTGCCTTGACGTGTGGGGTGGGGGTCACCAGGGGGCCATCCACTCGAGCGCCTGGGTCCGGCCCACAAGGGTCCCAGTGGGGTCGGGGCTCTCCCCGTGAGCAGGGGAAACTCCGTAGCTACCTCCGAAGGCCCCAGGTATCCACGCCGGCTTCGCCTGGGCCCGCGGACGGGCCGTCCGACCCGCGGAGGGCAGCTCCTGGTGCTACCTGCCAGCAGCGTTTACAGCCCCAGGTCCTGCAGACAGTAACGATCTGAGCTGAACTGGCTAATTTGGGAGACAAACGGGGTGCAAACCTGCCCCATCCCGCTGCACAGAGCGGGACAAACCCATGTTACTAATGCCCAAGGGCTCTCCTTAGAAACTGAGGAGCTGTCAAAACCAGGAAAGATTAGGAGACCCAAGTACAAGGATCCCTGCACTCGCAGATAAAGGTGTTGCGTCTGTTCTGGTGGAGATATTGAAATTTTAATCTTCAGGATCACGTGACTCATTAAATAATTAATGCGGCTAGTCAGGAATGGATCTGTGGCCGTCAGTCCTCACTAGGAGTGATCCTCTCAGAAGTGAAACTCAATTCCTTATTACTGGAGTTTGTTTTTCTTCTTTTTTTTTCCTTTTCTTTTCCCTTAAAAAAAAAAAACAAACAAAAAACCCACCTGATTTATCTTGAAAGATTCTAAACTTCTTAAGCAAGCAATAGGGTCTGTGTTGGTAAGTAGGTAGTGTGTATTTCTAGCTTGATGACTTTAATTGTTTGTGCTTGCTTTGTCTGCTGAGCATTTGCTTAACAAGTTTAATATTTAGAAATGTTAAATCTTTGTTTTAGCTGCCTTGTGGTCACATTACGGCTTTTGGTGATTAAGTGTTACCGAGGCAAACACATTTGATAATGTTCTAATTCACAGTGTGGAAGGCTGGGTGCCACAGTGCAGTAGGACCTGCTTTGTTCAATTTTCCTGGCGTTAATAAATCACCGGCTCCTAATGCAGGGCCAAAAAAGCAATGGAAAGGCAGTGAGCATTGTACAGGAAAAGTCATGGGCGAATTTCTCTATGACTCATTAGTCTGAACGATTTATGTACGGACTTAAAGTGCCGCAATGAGTATTAGAGTTTGGGATAACAACAAATTTAAAAAAAAAAAAAAAAAGGAAAAAGCGTCATAGCGTTTGTAAAGTGCTTTACTGCTACTTAGCAACTCTTTCAAGGAGCAGCATAGTATAAGGGGCTGTGGCGCTGTAAAATATGGTAGCGTGACTTCCTCGCTCCAAAATAAATAACAGAAAGTCGCTGGCACCACTTTGAGATACACACTTCATCTTTAACATGAGTGGGGCAACCCAGTCACGACACGTTTGATAGATGGTTATTGCCGTTTGTAACATGCCTATTGATTAGGGATCAAAACGACTAAGGTATGAGCCTAAGCATAAAATGCCAGGGGGATCCTCCTGCGCCGGAGCCGAGTGGGGCGGAAGGTAGAGCTCAGAACAACCCTGGGCAGCCCCGCCAGGGCTCTGAGATCACAGACTGAATTTGCCATTTTCTTTTGTGTTTGCCAGTAGATTTTAACAGTCAGCGCTCTCAAATTTATGAGACGGCAATAAACAGCTTAGTAGGCTATTATGGCATGATTTTATGTAGACTGGAGTTCAACACCAAATTTAAAATTATTAGCGTAATTATGGAACTACTAAATTACCAAAGCAAAATCTCTCCTCGAAAAGTTCTCCCAAGACAGAGTTAATAATTCCAAGGCTCAGATGACACCCTTCCGCAAGAGCGGCGTTATTAAATTATTAGCATTTACATTTACTGACAATTTTAAGATGCGTTAGGCGGCTTTTATTAGCGAGAATGAATACGAAAGGGACATTATTATATCTGACAAATTCCGATGTAAACGTGATTCAGTAAGTGGCATGCGAATAATCTGACTATTGTCTTTTTGGATTGTGCAATATTTTTTATTTTAGGGGAAGAGAAGCCGTTCACTTTTTTCCCTCTTTCAATGGTTTTCAGTCTGTCAAAAAAAAAAAAAAGGGGGGGGGGCTTTGGGCCCTATCCTGCCTCAGTGAGGAATTTTTTCAATTTTTAGGCTTTTCTTAGTGGTGGCAGGATCGGGCCCTGCTAACCGTTTGAATAAAAGCCCAACCACAATACGCCCCGCATTTAAACTGGAACACTTTCCGCGTTTTATTCAGCAGAGATGAACGCCACGACTTGCGTTTAATGTCTGTTCTTGATTAAATGATCCTAAACAAAGGTTTCCCAGAGGAAAATAAAGCAGACATTCATGTAACAAGAGTTTGGAATGACAATATTTCCAAACACTTGGAGACAGAAGGCATAGCTGTCTACGGGGAGGGAAAAGAAAAAAAAAAAAAAAGGAAGAAAAAAACCCCACACCATCCGCACGCTTTTATTTCTCAGCTCCCCGTGCTCTTCACCCGGGTGGGAACCCACGTAAGCTCCGCGCCAGGAGCCCGCTCCTGCTCCTCCATCCCTGTCTGTCCCGCTCCGCAGCTCTCCCAGCGTACCCGGCAAAGCATGTATTGCCTATGAAGGAGCAAAACACCTCCCCCTGCACTCCCCGGTAAGGCACTGTTTGTTGCTTGTTTACAGGGAGCCCCAAAAAAGAGCCGCTGGGCTGGGGCGGTGGAAACCGGGAGCGCTCCCGAGCGGTTCCGCGCAGCTGGAGGAGGTAAGAGCAGGGAAGTGGCCAGGCTCTGCTTTTGCGCCGATCGCAACTGTAAGCAAGCCATTTGCCTGGTACCTGCATGCAGAACAAGCCTGCTTGAATAAGATTTTGTTGTTGTTGTCGTGATAAATATTTAACCTAGCTGGATTTTTTCTTTTTTTTTCCTTTTCCCTGGATTGGCTCTATTCATCTTCTGAGGGTGGTGAATGCGCGTGTCTGGGCAGACAAAGAATCGTATGGGACCTGAGTGATCGCCATCCTTATAAAGGCATTGGGGGACAGGAAGGATGCAAAGTCATTTGAAGAGCGAAAGAGGTTGAGAATTTCTTTGTCCATTCTTAGTTCCTTCCCGAATCAAAAGGCATAAGGCGAGGGACAGCGGGCTGGAGCCATGTCTGCGCTGAGTGCCTCGTCGCGGCTTGTCTATTTGCCTCCTCGAAGGTCTCCGTAGCCAGTTCTGCAAACGTGGGGAGTGCATGTGGGGATATTAGAAAACCTGATGTTCTGTCTGAGTGCATGCACCAGAATAAGTTTCGTGAATTCGCCTGACCCGGCCTGCTTTGCACAGGACGGATGTTGGTGTTTGGTGGTTCAGAGCTGCTGGAGTGCTTCACATATGCTGGGTTCCTAGGCAGGAGAAAAGAAATGCTTTTCATAGTGACAATTTTCTTGTGCCGGCTGCCGAGAGGGGAGGATTACACAGAATTAGCTCAAATTCCTGGTAGATTTACCTACTTATTTTTGGACGCTGATGTACAATTAGTATATTTTACTACCTTTTAAAAGCGGTCATAAATTACGGGACTACAAGGGCTCTTTGTGTTGACTTAATGGGCTGCTTAAATCTTAACTACAAAAAGGCTCTGCAAATGTCTATTCACGCTTGTATTGGGAAATTAAAAGCGAAAATACGGCACGAAGGAACCTTCCACCGGGGGCACGTACCCGCAGCATTGCCTGCAGAGATATTTGGGATTCCTTTACGGACCCAACACTGGCAGACTCAGCTGACTCTGGGCAGAACTTCTCTCATAAGCACAGTTGATAGCTCTGTTCTTTTTATCTGCTTGGAAATGATCAAAGACCAACTTTATCTCTATCAGATGCACAGATGTAGGTAAACAGCTCTGCATCCCAGCAGATTTCAAATCTTTCAAGGAAGCGAGGAAATAAATACTTAGATAGTACAGTGATTCCTATTTCGTCTCCACATGGGATTTACTTCTTAACAACTGGCACGAAAGTAAACTTGAAAGGCAGTAAAAACTCTAGATCTAATGATATTGAAGGTAACTTTGAATACCATTAATGGTAAAAGCGGCTATTAATGCCAGAGCTGGCACAAAGGATCTCTCTTAATGAAGGCACGTTATGAAGTCAGATCTGTTTGTCGTTACTGAGCGTGGAATTTCAGCTCAGCTCGAAACCATGTGTATAAAGCACAGAAAAATCAGTAGCAGACCTACTGACAAACTCCACTTTTTTTTTTTTTTTCTGCTAGAAACCATGCTTCAGGTCTCCGAATTATCGAGGTAATAAAACACAATGTTGAATGTCCAGGAACAGGAACAAAGCAATATATGGGGTGGCAGGGGAATTCTAGCTCCTGCGCCTCGCAAGATCATTTGATTTTGTATTTGGAAACTCGTAATCGCGATACTAGAGCAAAGCAAGCTTTCTCCAAAATCGGCGGAAGAGAATAATTTTCAGCTGCCATCCAGGACAACATAAAGTTAGGCAGACTCCCCCTTCCGCCCTCACAAAGCACACCCTGTGGAAGGTATTCACACGTCAAGAAGTTACTTTTCTTAAGAATTAATTAGTTTTCCCACTACATACACGAAGTTAATTGTTAAACAGTAGTTTTAGGATTAACTTGGCCATTAATACTAATAAAGATGTTCATAGAAACAGGGTTTTGAAGCCAACAGCCACAGCTAGCGTTAAGGCATTTAAGCTGACTTATGATTGTGATTTATTGCTTTTGTAGTTTCTATTTGCTCAGGACTGTAACTTCTAAGGCCATCTTTCTACTTTTGACACAAAGCAGTCGATAACTTTTCTGCAACAGCTCCAAGAAAGACTCGCTCTGCTTTTTTCAACATCTACTCCTTTCCCCATTATTTCCAGTTTCATTGTTGCAGAAGAACTTCCCTGTGTGTTTCTTTTATAGAATCTAAGCGCACAGTTTTTAAAAGTGCCGTGAGTCCATTTCGAGTAAATACCAGCCTTGGTTTACAGTAAGTACGAGAGCTGTGGAGGTCCCAGTCGTGCTGATAGCTACAAACTTGGGCATGTTGTGTGTATCAAGTGATCTCTCCTTTTCAAAGGTCTATAAAAGTTTTATTCCAGTTCTTAGTGAGGGATAATAGATGTGTACCCTGCTACTAGTTTAGTCATTTCCATATGAAAAATTGCAAATCCTTCTTCCGCTGTAATGTCACGCTGACTTTGCTGCATTGTCCACTACTACACACTGTTACTGATGGGTTTAAATTCCAGTAGCCCGCTTTTACTAGTCAAGCGGGAGTGCCCAAGGTTTGCCCATAGCACTAAAAATCACCTTTAAAAAGAAAACTTCCACTTTTCAGTGACGTGCAGGTGAAACAGTATACCCCATACAGTTAGCTGGAAGTTTTCTTTGGGTTCATGGGGGATAGTGGGAAGATTTAGGCAAGGGTATATATATCACGATGCAAAATGCTGGAGTCACAGAACTGGACAAGGAACAAGTTAAAAGCGTGAATTGTCTGATTTTCTTTGACTCCTTCCAGAAAAGTTAGTGAGTTGAGGGTTTATTTTGTTTGTTTAGCTTATTGTGTCAATAGCACAAGTTAAACAGTCCTACAGGGAAGATGTGTGTTTGCACACAGGCGAAGCTGCCTGGCTCGAGGGCCGCATGCAACTTTGCTCTTCTCTTTTTTTTTCTTAATTTTTTTTCCCCCCTTAGGCAGAGAGATCCCCTCCCCAATTTTTTTTTCATCGTTAGAAACCTATAATTTTGTGCATCACTCAAACTAGCTGTATAGGAAATGCGTAAGCACAGGTTTAACAGCAAGGTCCCAAAAGGTTTTGCAAAATTCAGAGCCACGCCAGTGAAGGAAGGTGTATTCTTCATAGTGTGTTACAAGGACAAATATCAACTAGCTTCTTAGAAGAGACTCTTTTGGGCCTTTGTCAGGTAATTACAGGTCTTTTTAGTTTCTACAGGAGTCCTGATGTAGCGTGTGGGAGTTGAGCAAGCCCTGTACAATGGCAGGGCTGAGACGGCTGGGGGTGGGGGGAAGGGTGGTAATCGTCCCACTTAGAAGGGGGCTGGAAATAATACTATTAGGATTTGGGCTTTCTTCGGGGGTTGCAGAGGATACGCGACGTGGAGCAGAGCGGCGGGCCTGGGGAGCAAATGCCGGTTAATTAGGCTAAGTATTAAAGTGCAGCGTAACCCCATATTATATGAAAATTTCCTCTTACCTTCCAATGGGCTTTGTGCAAAGAAATATTGATGTGGGAGGAAAAAGAACCAAACCGCTCTTCCTCCCCCCCTTCCCAGTCATCAGCATGTCTTGGATTTTTTTATTTTTTTTTTCTCCTCCCTTAAAAACTCTCCTTTAACACATTGTGTTGAGGCTTTAGAAAGCAAAGGCTCGCGCTAAGAAACCCTGTTCCTTCAATGATTCCCTATTTCAAATAAAAGGATTTAAGTTGACGTATGACCACGTGAGCACATAATACAGTGCATTATTGTGGCATTTGGAGTGGAGACCCGGGCTGGCTCCGTCTGCGATTACGCTTTTCCAGTTTCTGTTCAGAGCAAGCACTGCTTTCTTCTTTTTTTTTTTTTTTTTTCCCCTTTCCTCCTGCCCCCACCACCGTCCCCGCAAGAGCTGGCCATTTCACTGACAGCTTTCGTTCCTTATGGAAAGGTTATTGTCGAGCCGAGAGGACGAAATGCTTCGTTAGAAAGGATGGATTTTATTTTAAGGTATTTCCGTTGATTGTTCATTTCTGTGGTGAGTTATGGCTGTTCGAGGCAAAGGTCAGTGGCGGAGGCTGGAGGGAGTGCGTGTGTGTGTGTGTGCGTGCGGGTGTGTGGGCACCCGGAGCCGGGCTGCTTCTCTCTTTGTTTCAATTTGCTGCGGTAAATATTCAACTCTCCCCTCACAGGGAGCAGATCAGGGAGAGTTTGCTGCTTTATTTATTTTTCTCCATAGAGATCCCACACTGCTGTTGATGCCCAGCTGCCTCCACTCCAGCCCCTCCATTGCCATCTTATCATTATTTATGACCTGCTAGAGATGGGAAGCCTCTTTTATTGTCGTGTTTGGGTGTTTCCCCCGCTTTAATTTTATTTTACTTTTTTATCATTTTATTTGTGTGTTTGTTTATGCATTTATGCACTTGGGGAAGTGTGGGAACACAACTGGGAGGAGTGCTCCTCTGTCGGGGTCGTACTCGAGTGTGGTGGCGGTTATTCTTTTATGGGGGTTTATTCGGCCGCTGCCGCTCCGTAAATCGATGACTGTGTGATCACGCTGCCATTTTATTTATGATGCTTTGGTGGTACGTTGTTTACCGTGTGCGGAGGGCTGCGTGGGTGCTCAGATCTGGGGCAAAGCTTCCCCTTTCCAAAAAAGCCGAGGGAGCTTCCCGTTTTTTCTCCGCTGTGAGAAAGAGCTGAACCAAGAGCCAGTCATGGCTTCTAACAATAAATCGGCTTTAGAAATGTGGGCTTCTTTTTTCCCCTCTCTCTGAATGGGAATCTGGAAAGAGAGAATAAAAAGGGGAAGAGTGGAAATTATCTTCTAGGAGAATATATGCTAGTTCTAATTTCACATCCATGTCGTCGTTTACATAAATAAAGATATATCCATAAATGAGGATAAATATATTAAATATTTGCATACACTTATAAATACGTGTGTGTAGCTATATATAAAGAATGCACTCTACATTTTGAAAATTAAAGAGTACTTGACTAGCCAAGGAGAGCAAAATGCTACAGA